ACGGAGGAACTGGACCTCCAACGCAGTCTCCATCTGAATTTTTGCTTTCAGTTTTGCGTCGCTCTTGTGCTGCGCGGCTTGTGTTGTGTTTTGTCTGTCTAATTTCTGTAGTGGGTGTAATAACTGTGTTCTATCTATCTGAAAATATGGGACAAACTGTCACTACTCCCAAGAGTTTAACTTTACAGCACTTCAAGGAAGTCCGTGACATCGCCCACAACCTCTCGGTGGAAGTGCGAAAAGGAAAATGGGACACCTTCTGTTCATCTGAGTGGCCAACCTTTGACGTGGGCTGGCCACTAGATGGCACCTTTAACCTAGGAGTTATTTTACAGGTGAAAGCTAAAGTCATGGACCCTGGACCCCATGGACATCCTGACCAGGTTCCCTATATCATCACATGGGAATCTCTGGTCAAAAATCCCCACCATGGGTAAAGCCTTTCCTTCCCCCTTGCCCGAAACTCACCCCGTCTGCCCCCTCCCTTCCTCCTCCGCTGGTTCCAACCCCGACTAACTCTACTCTTTACCCGGTCCTCACGAAACCGGCTCCAAAGGAGACCTCTGGGCAAAAGAAGACACCTCCAGTACTGCCAGCAGACGATGGCCCTCTTTTGGATCTTTTGACTGAACAGCCCCCTCCTTACGGAAACCCAGACCCCGTTGGGGAACCAGAGGGAGTGGCCACCAGACGGGAACCCCAGGGAGAATCCACCTCGTCCCCGGTGGCAGGACGATTGAGGGGGCGTCGGGAAGTCCCTCCTGATCCCTCCTCCCAGGCCCTTCCATTGCGAACGGGGCCTGACCACCAACTCCAGTACTGGCCCTTCTCCGCGTCTGACTTATACAATTGGAAAAATAATAATCCTCCTTTCTCTAAGGACCCTTCTAGGCTCACAGCACTGATCGAGTCTATTCTAGTGACCCATCAGCCTACTTGGGACGATTGCCAGCAGTTGCTCCAAACCCTGTTGACCACCGAAGAAAAGCAGCGGGTCATCCTGGAAGCCCGCAAAAATGTTCCAGGGGATGACGGGCAGCCCACCCAATTACCGCAACAGATTGATGCTGCCTTCCCCCTGGAGCGACCCACCTGGGACTTTACTACTGCACGCGATAGGGAACACCTACGTCTCTATCGCCAGTTGCTCATAGCGGGTCTCCGTGGGGCTGCAAGGCGCCCAACTAATTTGGCACAGGTTAAGTTAGTGACCCAGAAACCTGAGGAATCCCCCTCTGCTTTTCTAGAACGACTTAAGGAGGCATACCGTATGTACACTCCCTATAATCCAGAAGACCCAGGTCAAGCAACCAATGTAGCCATGTCTTTCATCTGGCAGTCTGCCCCGGATATTAGAAAGAAGTTAGAAAGGCTTGAAAACTTAAGAGAGAGTACAGTACAGGATTTATTAAAGGAGGCAGAGCGGATTTTTAATAAGAGAGAAACACAGGAAGAAAGAGATGAAAGGCTAAGGAAAGAAGCAGAGGAAAGAGAGAACGTAAGAGAAATAGAGAATTTAGCAAGTTACTGGCCACAGTAGTGACAGGACAGAGACAGAGTAGGCAGGACCTGGGAGACCGCTGGGGTCCACAAGTAGACAAAGACCAATGCGCCTACTGCAAGGAGAAAGGACATTGGGTCCGAGACTGCCCAAAGAGACCTAAAGGGCCACGAAAGCCTAAACCCCAGGCCACCCTGTTAAACCTGGAGGATTAGGGGAGTCAGGGTCAGGAGCCCCCCCCCCCCGAACCCAGGATAACTCTTAATGTGGGGGGGGCAACCCGTTACTTTCCTGGTGGACACCGGAGCCCAGCATTCGGTACTCACCACCTCACCGGGACCCCTGACTGACAAATCGGCGTGGGTTCAAGGAGCCACCGGAGGAAAAAAGTACCGGTGGACCACTGAAAGAAGAGTCCAACTCGCCACCGGTAAGGTGACTCACTCCTTTTTGCATGTTCCTGATTGCCCTTATCCACTGTTGGGAAGAGATCTATTAATGAAACTCAGGGCACAAATCCACTTTGAAGGGACTAAGGCCCATGTTACTGGGCCTCAGGGACAGCCTTTGCATGTGTTAACCATAAACCTGGAAGATGAATACCAACTTCATGAGCTTGAAAGGCCCTGGCCGCAAGAAATGACTGTTTGGCTAGAAAAGTTCCCCCTAGCCTGGGCAGAAACAGGAGGAATGGGTCTCGCAACTCACCAGCCCCCCCTGGTGGTCACTCTAAAAGCATCAGCAACTCCCATTTCCATTAAACAATACCCGATGTCACATGAAGCTTACCAAGGAATTAGGCCTCACATTCGGAGACTTTTAGATCAGGGCATTCTAGTACCTTGTCAATCCTCCTGGAATACACCTCTCCTTCCGGTTAAAAAGCCAGGAACGGGAGACTACCGCCCGGTACAGGACTTGAGAGAAGTCAACAAAAGGGTAGAGGATATACATCCTACAGTTCCCAACCCATACAATTTGCTAACTGGGCTTCCTCCGAGGTACACCTGGTATACGGTATTAGACCTTAAGGATGCATTCTTTTGTCTGAGGTTCCACCCTCAGAGTCAGCCCATTTTTGCCTTTGAGTGGAAGGATCCAGAATTGGGAATATCGGGTCAGCTTACCTGGACCAGACTCCTGCAGGGGTTCAAAAATAGCCCCACCTTATTTGATGAGGCGTTGCACCGGGACCTGGCCGACTTTAGGGTTCATCACCCTGCTTTAATCTTGCTCCAATATGTAGATGACCTCCTCCTGGCTGCAGAAACTAAGGAAAAATGTAAGGAGGGAACAGAGGCCCTCCTGAGGACTTTGGAAACTCTAGGATACCGGGCCTCAGCTAAAAAGGCCCAAATATGTCAGAGGCAGGTTACATACCTGGGCTATCAGATCAGGGATGGACAAAGATGGTTGACAGAAGCACGGAAACAGACAATTCTGAAAATTCCGGTGCCCAAAAGCCCGAGGCAATTAAGAGAATTCCTGGGTACTGCGGGGTTTTGCCGCCTTTGGATCCCAGGATTCGCAGAGATGGCTGCGCCACTTTACCCACTTACCAAACCAGGGACTCTCTTTACTTGGGGGGATGAGCAGCAGAGAGCCTATGCAACCATAAAAGAGGCCCTGCTGACCTCCCCCGCACTGGGGCTTCCGGACTTAAACAAGCCCTTTGAGCTATTTGTGGATGAGAAACAGGGATATGCTAAAGGGGTCCTGACTCAAAAACTGGGACCATGGAGGCGTCCGATAGCTTACCTGTCCAAGAAACTTGACCCGGTGGCTTCGGGGTGGCCACCTTGCTTGAGAATGGTGGCAGCGATTGTCCTCCTGATTAAAGACTCTGGCAAGCTGACAATGGGACAGCCAATAATGATTCTGGCTCCTCATGCGGTGGAAGCCCTGATTAAACAACCTCCGGGCCGATGGCTTTCCAACGCCCGCATGACCCACTATCAGGCTCTCCTGCTGGACACTGATCGAGTATATTTTGGTCCCATGGTAGCCCTTAACCCGGCAACACTGCTTCCTCTACCAGAGGGTCCAGAAACTCATGACTGTCTCCAGATACTCGCAGAGATACATGGCACCCGGCCTGACCTAACCGACCAGCCCCTCCCTGATGCCGACTTCACCTGGTATACCGAAGGGAGCAGCTTTCTGGACAGTGGAGAACGGAGAGCAGGGGCCGCGGTTATTACCGAGACTGAGGTAATTTGGGCCAAGGCCCTGTCGCCTGGCACGTCGGCGCAGCGGGCTGAACTCGTTGCCCTAACTCAGGCCCTCCGGATGGCAGAAGGTAAAAAGCTCAATGTTTATACAGACAGCCGTTACGCTTTTGCCACTGCTCACATTCATGGGGAAATATACCGAAGGAGAGGCCTACTCACCTCTGAGGGGAAGGAGATCAAGAACAAACCGGAGATATTAGCTCTCTTGGAGGCTCTGTTCTTGCCTTCAAAATTAAGTATCATCCACTGTCCGGGGCATCAGAGAGGAGACAGCCCTGAGGCTCGTGGCAACCGCCTGGCAGATGAGACTGCCCGACAGGTAGCTCAGCAGGAAGGCTCAGTTATTTCCCAGGCCCTGACTATGGGAGAAAAGAATATAGACCCCTCTACCCGGGGGCCTGTTCTCCGATACAGCCAGGAAGACCAAAACCTACTAAGAGAAATGGGGGCCACCTATCAACCTGAAATTCAAAAATGGATATTCAAGGGAAAACCAGTGTGGCCCCAGCGTATGACTTATTATTTGATTGATTATCTCCACAAATTAACCCATCTGAGTTACAGAAAAATGAAAACCCTCCTTGAAAGAGAAGAAAGCACCCACCATTTGCTGGGAAAAGACAAGATTCTGCAGCAAGTGGCTGAAAGGTGCACTGTGTGTGCACGAGTAAATGCTGGACACAGCAAGGTGGGTTTCGGAACCAGGGTCTGAGGACACCGACCTGGAACCCATTGGGAAGTTGATTTCACAGAAGTCAAGCCTGGACTATATGGATATAGGTATTTGCTGGTGTTCGTGGACACTTTCTCTGGATGGGTAGAGGCCTACCCTACCAAACATGAGACTGCCAAAGTCGTCACCAAAAAGCTCTTAGAAGAAAATTTCCCCAGATATGATATGCCACAGGCACTGGGCTCTGACAACGGCCCTGCTTTCGTCTCCCAGGTAAGTCAGTCGGTGGCCACATTGCTGGGGATTGATTGGAAATTACACTGTGCATACCGCCCCCAGAGCTCAGGACAAGTAGAGCGTATGAATAGAACTATTAAGGAGACTTTAACCAAATTAACGCTTGCAACTGGCACTAGAGACTGGGTGACCCTCCTTCCCCTAGCGTTGTATCGGGCTCGAAATACACCGGGCCCTTATGGACTCACTCCTTTTGAAATCCTTTATGGTGCCCCGCTGCCAGCGGCCCATTTCTTTGACTCTGACATAGCCTCTTTTGCTGATAGACCTTCTCTCCAAGCTTACTTGCAGGCCCTGTATGCAACTCGTACAACGGGAGGTCTGGAGACCGCTGGCGGCTGCGTATCGAGAACAGCTCAACCATCCGGTGGTGCCACATCCGTTCCAGATCGGAGACCTCGTTTGGGTTCGTAGACACCAGCAGAAAAATCTAGAGCCACGCTGGAAGGGACCCTACACTGTACTGCTGACGACACCCACAGCCCTAAAGGTAGACAGCATCGCCGCCTGGGTCCACGCCTCCCATGTCAAGACCGCTAACCCCGAACACCAGCCTGACCACTCGGATTTAAAAGCCAGATGGAAACTTCATCGCACTCAAAATCCATTAAAGATAAGAAAGATTGACTCGTGGGGAACCCTAATAAGCTTGTGTCTCACTCTAAGTCTAGGAGTAGCCCATGCTTCCCCACATCAGGTTTATAATTATACCTGGGTCATTGAAAATCAGGCTGGGGATATTGTTAACTTAAGTTCCTCTATTGGGGCCCAGCCCCACTGGCCAGATTTAGAAGTAGATCTCTGTGCCCTTGCCCTGGGAGCAGACACTGATTGGGCAGTTCCTGATATTTTCTGGCCTCCACCTGGGGGCCGAGCACCTGAACGAATTACCCCAGGACGGGCCACCGATCCAAGTTGTATCAATTCAGTTGGGAGGGCCCTTTTACGGGGTCCCTCCAGCAGTGGGGTATGGGGTATTTACGTCTGTCCTGGCACACATCGGAATAGAACTCTCAATCACAAATGTGGGTGGGCAGATCAGTATTTTTGTGCCTCATGGGGCTGAAACCTCGGGAGACACTTATTGGAGGCCCTCCTCTTCTTGAGACTATATTACAGTAAAAAAAAAAAAACAAAAAAACAAAACTAGGAACATGTCCCACTTAATACGCCCCTCTGGGGGCTAAAATCAGGGGTATGCAATCCCCAGAGCACAACCAAAGGATGGTGCAATCCCCTGTTGATTCAATTTACTCCCCAGGCTAAACAACAGACTTGGACTTCACGAGGTTTTAGATGGGGCCTTAGGGTTTATAAAAATCGAAAAGATATAGGCCTCACTTTTAGAATTAGGCTTAAAAAGACCTTACCTACTACTAAATCTTGGGCCCCAACCCGGTTTTATCAGATCAGAGGAGGCCCTCTCAGCCAAGACCTCCACCCCTGTGGCCAACAGCCCCGAATGCTTCCGTTTCTTCCCTTAGCCCAACCGCCATGGGCCCCACTATGCAGCCTCAGAGGCCTGGGTCAGGAGATAGACTTCTTGATCTAATGACAGGAGCCTATCAGGTGTTAAATCACTCCGATCCCGACCGGACCCAAGAATGTTGGTTATGCCTGGTTTCAACTCCACCCTATTACAAAGGATTGGCTATAATGAGTAGTTTTTCTAACCATACCAGCCCTCCAGTGAACTGCTATCCCTCTGCTCAACATAAATTGACCCTGTCCGAGGTGTCTGGGCAGGGACTCTGTGTTGGAGCGGTACCTGCTGCATATCAGCAACTTTGCAATTCCACTGCCAGTATTGACACAGGGAATTACTACCTGGTTGGCCCCAATAGTACCTTTTGGGCATGCAATACTGGCCTAACCCCCTGCATATCGGCTCAAGGCTGGAATGCTGGTTCTGACTTTTGTGTTCTCATTGAATTATGGCCTAAAATAGTATATCATGAACCAGACTATGTCTACAGACACTTTGAGGGAAAAATTCGGTACCATAGGGAACCCATATCTTTGACTTTGGCAATAATGCTAGGAGGGCTAACAGTCGGAGGCATTGCCGCCGGAATTGGGACTGGGGCCACCGCCTTAACAGCAACCAATCAATTCCAACAACTACAACAGGCTATGCATGCCGACTTGCAAGCATTAGAAGAATCAGTAAGCGCTCTAGAAAAATCCTTAACCTCTTTGTCAGAAGTGGTCTTGCAGAACCGAAAGGGGCTAGATATCCTCTTCCTACAAGAAGGGGGGCTATGTGCAGCCTTAAAAGAAGAATGCTGCTTTTATGCCGACCACACTGGCCTAGTTAGAGATAATATGGCCAAGCTTAGAGAAAGACTTAACCAGAGGGAAAAACTCTTCAAGGAAGGACAAAGCTGGTACGAGAGTTGGTTCAATAGAGCCCCCTGGTTCACCACCCTTGTTTCCTCCCTCATGGGCCCCTTAATCGTAATCCTCTTGATCTTGTTATTCGGGCCTTGTATTCTAAATCGGCTGATCCAGTTCATGAAAGACCGGCTCTCTGTCATCCAAGCGTTAGTGTTGACCCAGCAGTATCATCAGCTCAAACAGCAGGGGACAGGAATTGACTCTCCCTAGGCCCTAGAATGAAAGATTCCATTCTAAGTTAAAAGAAAAATGGGGGAATGAAAGACCCCCGCCCCACCCTAAGTTAAACATATAGGCTAGATAGAGAACTGGAAAATTACTGAGAAACCCAGCTGTGTCATATCTGCGGTCAGGCTGCCCCAGTCGAGCTAAAAACAACTTGTATTAATCACCCTCATGGGATATCTGTGAGACTGTTCCAGTTGAGATAGGAGTCCTAAGGAAAACAAAATGTGTTGGGCCAAGTTAAGGGGTCATCATGACCGTTTCGACCACCCAGTTCCTGGAATTCTGGTGTCCCTGCCAAACTCTGACTCAAACTATGGTCTCATGTAAATATACCAATCAGCCCCCTGTAACCATGCTTCTCGCTTCTGTACCCGCGCTTCTGCTCTAAAACCATATAAAAACCCCAGTTTTCCACCCAGGGGGCGCGCAAGTCCTCCGAGAGACTTTGTCGCCCCGGGTACCCGTGTATCCAATAAAGCCTCTTGCTGTTTGCAGCCGAACAACTGGTCTCGCTGATCCTTGAGAGTGGGGGTCTCCCTGACGGAAGATTCCCCTCGGGGGTCTTTCAAGACCAGCCGTTTCCCTCCCTGTGGGTTTGCACCTGACAGTGAAATGCAGTCTCTGGTGCCCTGGTGCCCACAGTTCTATCTGAGGCGGCAAATCAGGCGCGCAGGCAGGGCTCCGTGCAGGAGCCTGGGTTCCGGCTCTGGCTCCTGGCTGGCTCCTGGGGCACCCGCGGAACCTGAGTTTTTTCCAGGGAATGTCTGGGTGACCTAAGGTCGGTCCCAATTGTTTCCTGCTCCGTGGGGTTATCTCTTGACTGGGAAATCCAGTCTATGGTGTTGTGGGCCCACAGTTCAGTCTGGGACCGTGACCAGATCACGCTGGTGTGTAGCTCTGGGCTGGCAACCAAGTGCCTGGCGGAACCAGGATCTCTTCCGAGGTTTAGCCGGGTGAGTTAAAGCTGATTGAATCCCCCACCGTGGGGTATCCTCTCACCTGTGAAACACAATCACTTGTGTTTTATGGCCTCGAGTTCTGATTGCTGGTCACGGTGACAATCCTGCTGTGCTGCTCCTCAGAATTAGAGTCCTCCTGGCGCCGCCATCTTGCCCCACCCTTTGTTCTCACTTTTCAATCAGTGATTGCAACTCCACTTCCAGCTGGCCCGGGGGGGGGGGTGGGGAAAGGACGTGTTATAAATACTTCAAATCTTTGGTGATTATCTCAAATGAAATGATTATCCTAAAGAAAGACTTCTTCTCACATAGCTTCTGATAGCTGTACCCACATGGATATAGGTTGGATCAAATGAAAATCATAGAGGGTTCATTTAGACACACACTAAAGAGGGAAAAAGGCAAAACCCAGTCTAAAAATGGAGGTTTTGATGACTAAAGTTGGAAACAGCACTGGGAAACCAGCATTATCTAGACAGGGTGATTTTTTTGGGGGGGAGAGGGTGGGTTTTGAGACAGTTTTTCTCTGTGTAGCCTTGGCTGTTCTGGAAGGTCACTCTGTAGAAGAAGCTGGCCTGGAACTAACAGAGATACATCTGCCTCTGTCTCCTGAGTGTTGGGATGAAAGGCGTGCACCACCACCACCAGACAGGATGATTTATAAACAGAATTATGGTACCACACTACCAGGGTTTCTATATGGAATCAACATTTTAACCATCCCTAAAGGTGGATAAGTTAAACTTCTTAATACTTCAGTTACACATGGAAATAATATAAACTATAGGGATACTAGACAATGGTATGAATAAATTAAAAACTGTGGACTAGTATCTGGCAAAAGTCAATGAAAGGTATTTAATACCATTACAAAATAGAAGACAATAATAAAATGCACAGAACTTTTTGTAAGTTTGCCCATGGAAAAGCATGACTGTTTTCCTGTAGTGGATACTGAAGTCTTGACAGTATGGATGCCTCATGGTTATTATCTGGAGACAGCTTTAAGATGGCAAGTGGATTCAAACAAGGCCATTAGAGCAGGCCTTAATCCATAGGATTGGTAGTAATTAGGACCGAGACCCAGAGAAAGACCACATGAAGACACAGGAACAGAAGATAGCCATCTCTAAGTCAAGCACATACTCAGAAAAGACCCAATCCTATCAAAGACACCTTGAGCTCATTAAACAGGTCAATTTCTGGTGTTCAAAGTCAACTAATCTACGGTACTTAGTTGTGGCAGCCCTAGTAAACTCACATACTCTCATAACCAGTTGCTACAATGAAGGTCCAATACATGCTCATGCTGTCCTTTCTATGTTTAGAAAAGACAAAGAATAAGGCATCTTATAACCAAAGTTACCTTAGGGAGTATTTTCTGGAGCTTTGCAAATTCTTTTTCTTCTTCTGGAAGATTTCCCCCTGTTTGTAAACCACCTTGGACCTGAAGCTTCTCTCTGTGAAAAATACACTTATTAGAGTAAAACCTCGAGGGATGTGGAGATAACACAGTAAAGTGCCTGCCATGTAAGAGCTGCATGTGGCAGCACATCCTGTAACCCCACGCTCAGGGGTTGGGGCAGTTGGACAACAGGATGGATCCTGAGGTTTGATGGCCAGCCAGTTCTAATTTCTGAGCTCCAAGTTCAGTGAGAGATTTCAAGAAATAAGATGGAAGACAGCACTCAGGAGGCAGAGGCAGGAAGTTTTCTGTGAGTTTGAGGCCAGCCTAGCCTACACAGAGTTCCAGGGCAGACAGAAACCTTGTTTCAAAATCAAGAAGGTAGATCCAGGTATGGGGGCACATACCTTTAATCCCAGCACTCTGGGAGGCAGAAGTAAGCACATGGCTGTGAGTTCAATGGATGCCTGGTCTACAAAGTGAGTCCAAGACAGCCATGGCTACACAGAGAAACCCTGTCTCAAAAACCAAAAGAAAAAGAAAAAGAAAAGAAAAAAGGTTGGAGAAGCATTAAGACACCTGGTATTAATCTCTGGCTTGCACATGTACACATGTGCATCCACACACATGAATACATACATACACCACATGAAACATCAAAATCGGAAAACTATTACAGACACCAATTATTTCTGATAAGACTCCTCATCAGATAACTTTAACATGCGTTTACAAGTTTTTTATTACTGTCTACTCAAAAGTGAGAAACAGTAATTTTCTATTCCATGGCAATTCCCTGCTGTATATAAGGTCATCCACTAGGGTTTAGGGAAACTAGCATTTCCATTAAAAATCTTATCAGCATAAATTATTATTACATAAGTTTTATAATCTTATGAATATATGTGATATATTTTATTAATATTCACCCTCCTATTATTCTATTATTGCCTTCCTACTGATTTTCTTCCTCTTGTCAACTATTGCTGTTCTACTTATTGTTTTTTGGAGACTGGTGAGCCAATGACTTTTTAAAAATGGTTGCTGCTGGGTGCAGTGGTGCATGCCTAAAATCCCAGCACTCAGGGAAGCTATCCTACTCTACAAATTGAGTCCAGGACAGCCAAAGCTACACAGAGAAACCATGTCTCAAAGGGAAAAAAAAGATTGCTTACAAGATCATGGGGGAAGTGATTTTTCTTTGGTTTTAGAGACAGGGTTTCCCTGTGCAGCCCTGGCTGTCCTGGAACTCTCTCTCTGTAGACAAAGCTGGCTTCTAAGTCAGAGATCCACCTGCCTCTGCATCCCAAGTGCTGTAATTAAAGGTGTGCACCACCAAGGCCCAACCAAGTGAAAGGTTATTTATAGGAACATGGGCAACTTTCCAGGACCCACTACCTACACTATGTAAAAAGAGAAAGTCAACCTGGTGGTGGTGGCTTATGCCTTTAATCCTGGCAATTGGGAAGCAGAGGCAGGTGGATTTCTGAGTTCAAGGCCAGCCTGGGCTACAGAATGAATTCCAGGTCAGCTCGTGCCTCACAAAGCATATACCCATACACAATAAGAGTAATGAGCTCTCTTTGTTGGGATGTTATAAGCTAGGCATATTATCACAAGTCTTTATCCCCAGTACTCAGTGGGCAGAGGCAGGCAGATTTCTGTGAGTGCCAGCTGGAGCTACAGAGTGAGACCTTGTTTTTTTTTTTTTTGTTTGTTTGTTTTTTTTTAGATAGAGTTTCTTCTGTGTAGCCCTGAAACTCAGAGATCTGCCTGCCTCTGCCTCCTAAATGCTGGGATTAAAGGCCTATGCAACCATTGCTCGGTGAGAACTTGTTTTTTAAAAAAAAATAGTGTAGTGCCTTTACTTGCTTGTTAACTTCAGCCCACTTAGCGCATGTGTTAAATCACCAGCATTTCTAGAAAATACAAGAGGTTAGGGCTGGATGTAGCTGAATGGCAGAACATGCATAAGATCCTGGGTTTAATTCTCAGCAACACACGCACTCAATTTTCAGTAACACACACACACACACACACACACACACACACACACACACACACACCTGCCATATGTAAGTAATGAGTACATAACATTAAATTAGGTGTACTACTCAAAACTAGGGCCAGGTAACTAGTAACATTTTGAAATAATGTCTGACAGATACAGCCTGTAAAAGATAACTGCAGGAGGCACTGATCTCTTATTTCCTCTTAAATGTGGGTATGTCAACCAAAGAGTCTGCTTCATACCTGTTCATGACTTCTTTTTCCTTTCAACCAAAAGTAAGGATTACTGGAGGACTAGCTGTAAGCTTCAGTTTTTCTCACTTCAAAGTCTGACTTTTCTATTTGTTTAATGCTTTTTGCTTTCACTTTAAGCAGAGGCCAGGCTAGAACTCATGACAATCCTTCAGCTTCTCAAGTGCTGAGATTACAGGTATGTGTTACCTTACCTGGCATGCTTTCATGGTGCTCATTTCACTCTAGAGAAAAACAGATAAAACAAGGCCATTATCTCAAACTCTAGGAAAAGTTTCCAGTTATCTTCCTATTTCTGGACACCTTCATACAGTTCCTTGTGAACGTCATAGTAATTTCTTAACTATATAATCTCG